CTGGGCACTGTCCCTCAGCTCTTCAGCTCAAGGCTAGCGCTCTACCACTTGAGCCACAGTGCCACTTCCGGCTTTTTTTTTTCTGCTTATGTGGTGCTGAGGAATCAAACCCAGGGCCTCATGCATGCAAGGCAAGCGTTCTACCACTGAGCCACCTTCCCAGCCCTATGATAACTTTCTTAAATTATTTAATATAATAGGCTGGGAAGGTGGCTCAGTGGTAGAGTGCTTGCCTTGCATACATGAGGCCCTAGGCTCGATTTCTCAGCATCACATAAGCAGAAAAAGCCACAAGTGGCACTGTAGATTAAGTGGTAGAGCGCTAGCCTTGAGCTGAAGAGCTGAGGGACAGCACCCAGGCCCAGAGTTCAGGCCCCATGACCAAAAATAAGAATAAGTTATTACTATTTTTAATATAAATTGACTGTAAGGCCCAGTAAAGTCTTTAAATGCTTATCGTCTAGAAGTGTCTGGTAGGGTTGAAGGTATAGCTCAAGTGGTGGAGCTCCCAACTAGAACTTTCTGGAAGAGGAGTGTCAGTCAGGCTAGTAGTCTGATGGAGGAGCAAGAATTATCCCCCCACACACACCCCTTTTTTTTTTCCCCCAGTAGTAGAGTTTGAAATGAGAGCCTTGTTATTTGAACCACATCTCCAACTGTAATCTTCCTTTCTAGATGCAGTGGGTGAGACCAGTGCTTCAGAGTTCATTTTAGCATCCCCTAGACACAAACATGCTCCCACATCTAGGCACCAGGACCTTACCTCCTCATGATCTGGATCTCCAGGCACCAGCGATCTCGGTTCTTTGGGCTGAGCTCCTGTCGGCACTGCTTAATTGCAATCTGCTCACCTGTCTCCTAAGAGAAGGCCATGGTGGAGACAAACAAAATAAACAACCAACACATGATCATCCCATGAGAGTGAGGGTACACTACACTACTCTCCTTGAGAGCCCCAAGGCACCTGTTCCAGTCTGATTGTTCTCTTCATCATCTTTACCTCTCTGCCTACCCAGATCCTGCCTTGTCCACCCAACCTTGTTCCCTCCTACACAAACCGTTTACCATCCATTCCTCCCAGGGACATTTCTACTTTTCTCTCAGCCTCAGCAGAGCACTATTAGGTTAAACCATGTATGTGATGCTGCTGATATTCAGCTACTCTGATCTACACAAATGATGTTTCCCAGAAATGGAGGGAAGAAATGTGAACAAATGCAAGCATGGCACTCAGCAAACACTATATGGAAAATGAACTATGTAACTTGTGGACAGGGATAGGAGGGAGGAACTGGGGAAAAGTGAAGAAAGGGGTGACAGTATCCTATAAGAAATGTACTCACAGTAACCCCTCTGTACAACAACTTAATAATAATAAAATTACATTTGAAAAAGTGATCTTACATCTGTACCAAAAAAAAAAAATGGTGCTTCCATATAGCTCAACCTAATAATGCCACACCAAGTGTCTCCACTACTGCACTATGTTTGTCCCTCTTCAGAGGGAATATAAGCATTGGATAGTCTAAGGAACATAGACTGATGCAAGTTCCAATTCGTTCACCAGCTATGTGACCTTGGGGGGAAAAAACCACAGATAAGATAGTGTCTTCTTCACCCATGAAACAAGGAAAATCACACATACATATACACACATACACACTTCATACTGTTATAAAATAAGCCCCTAGTAATAGCCAGCCCTTAGCATTGTTTGCTGACCTGACAACCCATGTCAGGATACTTTTAAGATCCTCTTGGCTCCACTCTGCTTTCCCAGCTACTTTCCCTCAGTTCAAGCACTCGATGATGCTGTAGATGAGACCATCAGCTCTTCTTGCTCAAGTGCTTTCTAGGCCTATGCTCCTGCTTCCACTATGTAGGAACCATGGACTCACACAAGACAACTTACCCTCTTCCATATCACCATAACAGATAATTCCTTCACTGTACTTATCTGCCAGGAATTTATTTTTTATAGAGCAATAGAGTATTTTCTTTCTAAACTACAGATGTATCCATTTCCATGGGCTTTGGCATTTACACCAAGTAACACAATGTCCTCCATTGTGGTTTCTTACATAAAGAACGGGCAGTCAATAGGGGTTTTTTTGGTGACTAATTGAGTAGCTGGTTCCTGAAGCTAACATCTCTTTCATTGGTGCACTGAAGACCCAAGGAAGCTTAGGCACTGCTGTGCCCCCAATCTATAGTTCTGGTGGCAGTAACCTGAGAGCTAACCTCACCACCTCCAAGCAAGCTGATCTGTGCCAACATCCTATGTGTTCTTGGCAAGTTGTGACCCAAATCCAAAAATTGAACAAGTTACATAATCAGGATATGAGCCAAGACCTCACTCTCAAAAGGTACAGAAAACTGAGGCCACTGAAGTAATCTCTTACCCTTTTTAGTTTGTAAAAAAATATCTTATTGAAAACATCTACCTATTTAAACTATACTGACAAATGGTTTGTGCTGAGTCTTGGACTGGGATTGTAATGGCATGTAGACATAGCAAGGACTGTCAAGACCCACACTGTATAGGAAAATCTAGGGAAACAGGATTAGGGTAATTTGTCACACTGCTCTTCCTCATCTGGAAATACAGGTTGAGTAGCCCTTCTTCAAAATGCTGGGGCCCAAAAGTATTTCAGATTTCACATGTTTTTCGATTTTGGCGTATTTTCATATACATGAGATATTGTGGGACCAGTATCCAAGTCTAAATACAAACTGATTTATCTTCCATATACACCTTATACACACAGCCTGAAAGCAATTTTGTTATATTCCCAGGGAACCTGCAATTTGACTATGACCCTATTCCAGGTGTGCTGCAATATTCCACATGGGATGTCATATGCTACTCAAAATGTGTTGGCTCTTGGGAGTATTCTGGATTAAGAATGTTCAACCTATATTCATTTTGGAGTTGGTTATTTAACGAGGAAGGAAGACTTAATTTTTTTTTTTTTTTGGGTCCGGTCATGGGGCCTGAACTCTGGGCCTGGGCGCTGTCCTTCAGCTCTTCAGCTCAAGGCTAGCGCTCTACCACTTGAGCCACAGCGCCACTTCCCGCTTTTTTCTTTTTTCTTATGTGGTGCTGAGGAATCGAACCCAGGGCCTCTGGCATGCAAGACATGCGCTCTACCACTGAGCCACCTTCCCAGCCCCAAGACTTAAATATTTTGACCTTCAAAGTTTTCCTTCAGTATTTCAAAATGGTTTGGATTGTTACAAAACACTGGAAGTATTCTAAAAGTGTTCTCCACCTGGAGAAGCCACAATAGAAAAAGCACACGGGTTGGGATTTAAATCCATGGAGGTTTCATCAAATGCAGCTTCTAATTTATTTACTAGTGTAGCCTCTCTGAGCATATTACTATCCTCTCTGTGCTTCTATTTCCTTAGCTACACAATGGGCTAGACAATAATACTTCCCTTGAGATTACTGTGATGACTGGAGATAAAGTATGCAAAACAGGGGTAGGGATGGAGCTCAGGGATAGAGTCCTGTAGCCCCTTGAGTTCAATCCACAACACTGCAAAAAACAGTACTGATGCCAGCATATGGAAGGTTCTCAATAAATGACAACCTTGATTTCTTTAGGCATCATATCTTGAGGATTGCCATTCTTAGGCTCCTAACTTCAAATATGCCCTTGATTGTAGACAAAACACATGTGAAAACAGAAAAACACATTAAATACAAGCACTATGTTTCACTGGAGCTTACTACAAAGCTGGGCACCAGTAGCTCACACCTATAATACTAATTACTCAGGAGGCTGAGATCTGAGGATCGCAGTTCAAAGCCAGCCCTATCAGGAAAGGCCATGAAACTTTTTTTTTTTTTTTTTTGCTGGTCGTGGAGCCTGAACTCTGGGCCTGGACACTGTCCCTCAGCTCTTCAGCTCAAGGCTAGTGTTCTACCACTTGAGCCACAGTGCCACTTCTGTCTTTTTCTGCTTATGTGGTGCTGAGGAATAGAACCTAGAGCCTCACGCATGCAAGGCAAGCACTCTACGACTGAGCCACCTTTCCAGCCCCTATTGCCAATAAACCACCAAAAAACCCGAAGTGGCACTATGACTCAAGTGGTAGAGTGCTAGCCTTGAACTGAAAAGCTGAGGGACAGCACTCAGGCCCAAAGTTCAAGCCCCATGACCAAAAAAAAAAAAAAAAAGAAACACAAAGGTGTGGCATTCATGTGCCTCTTTATATTCATAAATAAATAAATATAGATATAGTGAAGCAAATTCCAAGATATGGAAACAAGGTTTCTTCATTTGTTATTATTTCTGTATGTTATTGTTATATATGTATGTTATTCCATATTGTTATTGTGTATTTCTGTATGGTTTATTCATATGTCTATATTTAGGAGGGGGGACACAGAACTCAAGGGAAAAAGGGTGAAAAAGTACAGCAGTGACATTCACTGGACACTTTGTTGAACTATTCAACTCATGTGTAGAGACAGGTAGGAGGGACTAGGAAAGAGTGAGGGAAGGGATGATACTATATGAAAGGAAATGTACTCATTACCTAACTTATATAACTGCAATCCTTCTGTACATCACTTTTACAATAACAATAAAGTAAATTTAAAAATAAAACCTGTTTGCCCAAGTGCTGTTAGTGCCTGTCTGTAATCCTAGCTACTCAAGAGAATGAGATCTGAAGATCAGTTCTAGGCCAGCCCAGGTAGGAAAGTCGGTGAGACTATTTTTTTTTATTTTTATTGTTATTATAGAGTTAATATACAGAGGGGTTACAGTTACATGAATCAGGTAATGAGCAATCAGTACAATTTTTTAGGAACCAGTCTCCTCTTCCATCGCTCTCACTGGGTTTTTCCCTCCCGTCCCCATCCACAATATATCCAGTTCATTTTCTAGGTAGTGTCCAATGAACGCCACTGCTCCATTTGTTCATCCCAGTTCTACCTTTCATGTACCCTCCCACACTCTCACAAATACAAACAAGACAAAAGGAAAAGAAAAGAAAAACAGTGGTCACTAAAAGATGGGTGAGACTCTTTTTATCTCCAATTAATCACCTGAAAACTGGAAGTGAAGCTAGGACCCAGTGGTAGAGTGAAATAGCCTTGGGCACAAAAGCTCTAGAAGAGCACCCAAGACTTAAGTTCATGCCTCACAATGAAAGAAAAAATACCTGCCTTCTACCTTCAGCTTCCAGCAAGACTCCACCTTCTCCCTGATCCCCCTCCAATACTAATGATTTTCATGTTACTTTCTTGAAGAGGCCTCCCTTAACCCCTTAGTATATACCTCACTGCGCTTTCCTGAGCCACACTTTTAGCCACAGTATAAATTTATAACTAGTAAATCACCATTCTACCCATTAGGGACATTCCATATTTATGAGTGGACTGAGTGAGTGCTTTTGTGCACCTAACATATATGTAATATATGATTTTCCTGATGGGGAAATAAAAGAAAATCAAAGCCTGATCCAGCCTGGGCTGACTAGGAAATCAGAGTTCTGACATGATACTACTCCACACAGGTAAGAGGCAGCATAGGACAGGTAAAAGGGGCTCACTACTAGCTCCTCAGGAGACTGAGAACTGTGGTTAAAGCTAGCCTGGGCAGGAAAGTCCTTCAATCACCAAATTTGGAAGTGGAGCTATGGCTCAAGTGGCAGAGCACTATAGCTTGAAAATAGCTCAGGACAGTGCCCAGGCCCAGAGCTCAAGCACCAGGACCAACACACCCACACATACCCACGCACACCCAAATGAGAGAGAGAGAGAGAGGGGAGAGAGAGGAGAGAGGAGGGAGAGAGGGAAAGAGGGAAAGAGGGAGAGAGGGAGAGAGGGAGAAAGGGAGAGAGGGAGAGAGGGGGAGGAGGAGGCGCGGCACAGGAGACATACCAAATGAGTAGACATAAGGAACTCAATGGAGGATCAAATACAAAAGGAATGAAGCAGTCTGTGAAGAGTTTAAGAAACTATGATCTAGGGGCTGGAAAGGTGCATGAAGCCCTGGGTTCGATTCCTCAGCACCACATAAACTGAAAAAGCCGCAAGTGTCCCTCTGGCTCCAGTGGTAGAGTGCTAGCCTTGAGCTGAAGAGCTGAAGGACAGCGCTCAGGCCCCATGACCGGCAAAAAAAAAAAAACAAAAAACTATGATCTAGAGCTGCTCTAGGAGGAAGGGGAAGAATTTACATAGCCTCCAGGAGAGGAAAGCTGGTTCAAAACAAAGCGCAGTAGGTCAACCTGTGGGAAACCAGCTGGAAGGTAATGAAGCCAAGTAGCATATGCACAGAAGAGGAAGGGCCTCAGAAGGCTGCAGGAATATTTTTTAAATAAACTGAATTTCAAAAGGAGAAAGAACTAGAAATAGTAATTCTAAAGGCTATCTCTGTCTGTCTGTCTGTCTGTCTCTCTCTCTCTCACACACACACACACACACACCACACACACACACACACACACATTCTTAGGCCCCTATCTATAAAGTAAAAAAAAAAAAAATCCTATCTGAGCAAATGCAAGCCATTCTGAGTTAGAGAAGACAGACAGGGCATATTTGGATAGAACTCTTTGTGAAAAAAACCAAGATGTCTCCAGTTAAGCTGACTCTTACAAGTACTAGGCTGTCTAGAAGCAGTGCAGACCAGGTACTTGTCAATGTTATAGAAAATCTGGTCTTTCTGTTTAATGCTAGACCTATACTTTGAGCAGGACAAATTTATTGTGATACTTATATATTTTTCTTCTTAGTCATTTATTTCTTTTTTAGATTCAGTCTCATTACATAGTCTATGCTAGTCTAAAACTCAAGATCTTCTGGCTTCTGCCTTCTATGTCCTGGGATTACAGACATGCATCACCATGTGCAGCAAAGTAGTTGCAGTTTAAGGAACCCTTATCCAAAGGGATGCTGGAATTCTACTTTCCAAGTTGGGTGTGCTAAACCACTTACAGAACTATACAATGCTGTCCATCTCTGGTCCCCACACTCATTCAGGAGTCCCTCCTTCAGCTCGGAACTGACAAGACTCAGGGAATAGCCTAGAATGTCTTCCAACTAAACAGATCCGAAGGATGACCATCTAGAATGACTCTCTGGTATTTGTCCAGAAACCTTGAAAAGCCTTTCTGCTAGATGTGACCAGGCACCTGGATCATGAATGGCAGCATGTTCTTTCCTTCTAGTCCAGAAAGTTGCTCAACAGCCCTGAACTAAAATCTAGGACTTCCTTCAAGGACTTTATTGGGTTTCAATTTTGAGTCAGGAACTTAATTTTAGGTTTTTGTTGAGCGGAGGTTCCTCAGAGGAGTGATCTCCAAATTGGGTATAGGTTCTCCAAATGTTGCCTAAGGACGTAACTCAAGAATAGAAAATATAGAATTAATCTTCCCTCAAACAATCTCTCAGCTCATCTTTCAGAAGGCCACATGTCTTAGCACTATTTGATATGCAGGTAAGATAAGAGCATTCAAGTCACAAGCAGGATGGTAGATGGGCCTACAGAGATGTTGCTGGGCAATATCATGTTTTTTATGGCATGCACAATTATGTGTTACATTACTGAAGTTTAGTAAAACAACTCTTATATAGTGAACAAGTGGTTTAGAAACATCTCTGTAGAGAATCTGAGTGCATCTAGCACGTGCACCAACAGAAATGATAGAGGACACATCAAATGTGAGAAACAGGCAGGTCACGTAAGGATTAAAAACAATGAGACTCAAAACACTCAACCATTTTTTCAATTCTTGGCAGTATTAGAAGTCTGGACTCAGTCTTGCTCTTGCTAGGCTGGCCCTATACTACTAAGCCATGACTCTGATTTACACTGGTTATTTTTAGGATAAGGTCTTGCTTCCCATCTTGGCTCAGGCCTAAGCCACTATTGCCTATTTTTAGGCTTCTCATGCTCAGTAGGATCACAAGTGAGGCACCATTCCCAGCTTTCCTTCATAGAGACTACCTCAGGGCCTATCTTGCCCATCCTTAGCCTCACGCATAACTTGAGATGACAAGTGCACACGACAACACCTAGCAATCGGTGAAGAAAGGGTCTTGTGAACTTTTCTGCCTGAGCTGGTCCCAAACCACAATCCTCTAATTCTCAGTGACCCAAGTATCTAAGATCGTAGGTGTGAAATACCAGTGCCTTGTTATAAAAAGTATCTGAAAGATGGTTTTTCATCCTTTATCCCACATGTCCTTTTTCATGCAGATCCGTGTATTTTGTGTTTACAGTACTACAAAGAATACTAGGAAAATGGGCCAACAAAGATGTTAAAAATATCCCGTTATTTTTAATATTGTTTTCATGCTTCTATTTTGTATGTTTTATATCATTTATCAGCATATAATGTGCTAATACGAGAGACATATGGTTTAAAATATGTAATTAGGACTGAGAATTTTGTTTTTTGTTTTTGTTTTCCAATTATTTAGGTGACATAGGTATTAGCCTAGCAGCCCCAAAGTCCTTTTTCTTACTGTTTTCTGTGACCATACTAAGGGAAAGGCCCTCTACCTGTTCAGATCACCAGTGTGGGCAGCTCTGCCTGCCTCCCAGCCCGCTTTGACCTTCCCCAGCCCTGGCAGCAGCACGGAACCCCTACCTGATTGTGCCATCGGATGACATTTCCAAATCCCCCGGTCCCAAGCCTTTCTTTCATTTCCCAGGCCCCACATGTCTGGGTTGGCAGGGAGGGTGACCAGCTCATATTGATGCCCTGCTAAACTCTGTAAGCAATGGCGGGGGAGGGGGGGGAGAAGACAAAAGATTAAAGTTTTAAGAACAAATTGTGCTCAAGGGGATGCAAAAAGCATCACTGCTCTACAATCCAGACTTGTTTCGTGAAATATGTTAAGTTTGTTGGAGGGCAAACTTTGCTCTCCTTCAGCTCCTCCCACCCGGACTCTATAGCAGGGCAGAGAGGAATTCTGCACCGCGCCCCGAACTGCTTCCCGGAACGGGGTTTCCGAACTCAGCACCGCCCAAGGTGGAGGGGAGAGCCCTGCTCCCGGACTCAGCGCGCACACTCTCCCGCCGCCGCCCCCCATTACCCCCGCCTCCCCGTCCCCGCTCCCCAGCCCCCACCCCCGCCGTCCCCGCTCCCGCCCCGCAGCCCCCCCCGCTGTCCCCGCTCCCGCCCTCCCCCTCCTCCGTTCCCCGCGCTGCCGCTCCCCCCCCCCCATCGGGAACTCCGTGGGCGCCCCCGCCGAGCGGCAGGGAAGCGGGTCCGCAACAAGCCCCAGGGCCGGCCCGCCGAGGGACTCACCTGCTGGCGGGGGAGGCGAAACTGGCGGGGGGCCGGGACAGCCCCCCCTAAACACGTGAAAGTGAGGGACTCTCAAACCCGCCCGCCCCGCGCGACTTCCTCAAACACTTCCTGCTCTGACGTCATGGAGCACGTGGCTGCGGCCGGCTCTTAAAGGGGCCGCTCGGAACGGCGGGTCAGAAGCTGCTCGGGGCTGCTTGGGTGGGATGCTGGCGGGCTGAGCTCGGTGAAGGAGCTTAGGAACCACTCTCCACAGAGCGCCAGCGCTCACCTACCAGCCACTCCGTTCCCGCTGTGCACCTGGGGAAATGAGCATGGGGCCCCCTTCGGTGAATCTGACCCCGATTTCTAATGACTGGGAATTTCCCGGGCCCTGTTCGGATGAATTTGGGAGACTGTTTACCAGAATTACCCTCCTAACCTACTCCCGCCGCTGTCTTCACGTCTAGACGCTCTGGTTCCTTTTCAAGGGCATAAATCACAGCAAGCTTCATTTGAAATGACAGTCTTCCCCCACCCTTCCCCTCAAGAAGGCCGAGCTCAATCACTCCTGTAACACTAGTAGGAAGCTGAAATATGAAAACCATGGTTTGAAGACAGCCCTGGTAATAAACCGGAGACTCATCTCCAGTTAACCATCAAAATGCTGGGCTGGATGGAGGTGTGCCTCAAAGTGTTAGAGCCCTACATGTGAACGAGAAAGCTGAGCAAGAGCTGAAAAGAAAACCACCACGCAGACATCCAGGTACAATAAGAACAAAGAAAAGGTTTATTGCCAGTAAAGGGGCCGGCAAGACCCCTTCTCACAAGAGAGGAGTGAGAAAAAGTGCCAGCTACTGTCTGAGATGACCTATGTAACCTACTGAGGCTAGGAGGGGCTAAGAGGCTGAGACCTTGGTGTGGACATGTGGATTAGGAGCTCTGCCATGGTGGACTAGGATTTATTTAGTGTTGCCTAGAAAAAGGAGTATCCTAAACTGTGGAAAGGGGAAGGAATGTACTAAGGCATTGAAAGGAAGCTTATTGGGCTTACAGAAGAAGCTCTGAGTTCAAGCCCCAGTACTGGCACCAAAAAGCAAGCAAACAAACAAGAAATCTAGTAGTCTCAAACTAAAGTGGAGTTTCAGCTCCAGTAATGCTGAGTGAGAAAACCGTGAGAGGGGCTCACTAGCATTATAATGTCTTCTAACATTTGAGTTTATTTGTTCTATGGCATTATATTAGTAGACGAAAAAGTGTTGTTGGTATTGAATCATCCCAGAAGCCACATTTTTAAAAATATAGAATATGGGAGTCTTTATTGAAGGGGCTCACACATCCATCCCAGGGACCACGCAGAAGCAGGCAGGCACAAGAGAAAGATTATTATAAGGTTTATTAGAGGAGCCATATTTCCCCCAAGAGGGAGCAATGGCCTCTGTCACCATCCAGGTAGCAGGAGAGTCTGAGGGTCAGAAATGAAGTAGGTGGGAGTTCAGGTGGGTCTGGGAGGAGAGAGGGAAGGGCCAGCTGTATGGCTATGGCGGGAACTCTGGGGATTAGAAGAAGCCCACCTCTGGGTGGAGCTGAGGACCAAAGGTGAGCATAATACTAACATTTATTGTATAGTTAACAGGTTGCAGGTGGCCACTTGTTACAAAGGCCTGCAGCATGCAAATACACATAACACAGCTAGGAAGATGCTAATGAGGAAGAAATAACAAAAACAATACCAACAAGCCAATTCAGCTCCAATGGAGAGCTGAATTGGGACACCATGATGACCTAAGATAAGCCATGAGACAGGACACAGGACATGATCACAGAGACACGTGGCATGGCCTCTTGGTGGCTAGGCTGGTCTGGGTCTAAATAGGTCTGTGCAGGAGGCAGATTCTCAGGAAATTCCCAGTCCCAGGCACTGGAACTGACAGATTCAGTAACCTATCAGCCATGTGCATGCCCCTGCCTCCAGGGGTCCTAGCACACCTATTACCTGGGGGAGGGGGGTTACTTCCCCCAGCATGAAGACAAGATGCCATACCCTACAGTCTACCATGTAGCCAATATGGCATTGGCCAGACCTGACCTTCTTACTTCAGTATCTTTTTCTGAAACAAGAAGTATGTATTAAAGGAAACCTGAAAATAGTTGCCAATATTTGTGGAATGCTTACTTGGTGCCAGGCACTATCCTAAATTTCTATTGAATCTCCAGATCAACCCTAAAAATTGTACAATACCACATTTTTTTATTATGCCATTTGCAGATGAGAAAACTGATGCACAGGAGTGGGGTACCTGTGGTATAAATAAATTCTAAAAGTAACTTTTTGGTGGTACTGGAGTTTGAACTCTGGACCTCCCAGTTGCTAAGCTGGCATTCTGTCTTGTCTCTAGTCCTACTTTTTTTTATTGTATTTTTTTATTATCTTTAAGTAGTTATACAAAGGAATTCCTATTCAACGAATCAGTGAATGGATGCAATGCATCATGTTTGATGTCACTCCTTTCATCATTCCTCTCCTCCTAACCTCAACCCCTTCTTCCAGGCAATTTTCTTAATTTCACTGGCTATGTATTAACTACAATAAGTGCATTCTCCCCTCTTCCTCTCTTCATTTGTCTACCCTGCTTTCCTTGACCTTCCTCCTACTTTTCAAGTACCAGTTTCCTGGCATTCATGTTGTTGCACTGTTTTTCTAAGGAATTACACCATTTGAATTCTGTCCTGCAAATACATTTCTATACACTTGCATACAACCACAAATGTGTTTACATGTACATTTATAAATTAGTTCTAGCTTCTACATATGAAAAAAAGTGTCTTTGGACCTGACTTACTTCATTTAAAATAATTTTTCCGGATCAATCCATCTTTGCAAATGATGTAATATTCTTCCTAGAGGGTAAGTAAAATTTCAATATAAATATATACATGCACATATGTGTGATATATATATATATATATATATATCACTTTTTGTTCAAGACTGAGACTCAAGCTCAGTACCTGATGCTTTCACTCATTGGCTAGCACTCTACTAATTGAGCCATGCCTCCAACACTGATTTTCTTTATCCATTAATCCATTGAAGTGCTTCTGGACTGCTTCTATACTTTGGCTATAGTGACCAGTGCAGCAATGAATATAGTTGTGCAGTTGTCCAGCCCCGCTTTTTGCTGATTATTTGGGAGATGGAGTCAAGCAAACTTTTCTCCTGGGCTAGCTTCAAACTATGATCCTCTGAATCTTAACCTCCTCAGTAGCTAGACTTACAGATATGAGCCACTGGTGCTTTGAAAAAAAATATATACTTGTTGAGCAGGGCACTATTTTCTGGGTGATGTCATAAAGTTTCTTTTCATCCTATCACTTCTGAAAATGACTGTTCCTGACTCACTTATTGAGATATCCACTGACATGTCAAAAGTTTACTCCATACTCTATATATTTCAAGAATTCTCATTTTGCTCAGCTCAAAATAACTTGGTTTTCAACAGGATATAAATATCTTTAAACATTAATAGATTTTTTTTTAATGAATGATGGCTCGGGAAGGTGCCTTTCTGCATTTTATTCTAACCTAAGATGTTTATCATCTTAAGCCCCATTTTTCCTTCAGATAAGGACAAATCCAGATGACTTGCCTGCATCTGGTCTCCATACAAAGATATAAATTGGCTGTTGACAGCAAAAAAAGATGTTCCTTTTTCTTCATGCATCAGGGCTGAGTGTGCTATTTAGATGTGAGTACAGGATAATGAAGAATTCACTAATTTCTGACCCCAGGGCTGATACTGGAGGGATCCAAACACCTTTGGTCATATCAGAGGAACTTAGAATCTTCCAGAGATATAAGACTACAGAAAGCTATGGGGTAAGAAGACACCAGAATCAGGAAATGAAAAAGCAGGTACTTATTTGTTCTGTTGCAAACACAGTAGACTTTTGATAAGGAAAAAGTTCATGAGCATCAGCTGGGCACTTGTGGCTCCATTGTGTAATCCTACTACTCAGGAGGGTAAGATCTAAGGATTGAGGTTTGGAGCTAGTCTGTGAGACTTTTCTCTCCAATGAACCAGCAAAAAGCTGGAAGTGCAAGTATGGCTCAAGTAGTAGAGAACCAGCCTTGAGCATAGAAGCTAAGAGACAAGGCCCAGACCTTGAGTTCAAGCCCCAGTACCTACCCCCACACACAAACAAATAATTTCTGAACATCACTTTATAATTTACAATAAAACCTTGTTCCCAGAGGAAGCCAAAGACAACTATCCTCTTAGTCTTTTTATGTCATCAGCTGATTAAACTTTACTCTCACCAAATAATAGCCAGGCAAAACAGTGTAGAGGTCCTGTAAGTTAGGAAAAGATGTTTCTGCATCATCTGGAATCTGACTCATCACAGGAGAAGTCATCCTCAAAGACAGGAAGGCAATAAAACAAACCATTAGAGATAGAAGGGTTTCCCATTCCCACTCAACTCTAGATCTGTGTTTTCAGCTACTCTTTCATTATCCCTTGAAAGTTTACTTGTTCCTGGCCCTGGGGAGAGAGAACTCTGCAAGTCAGGTCTTGCTCCTTCAACAAATATTCCTTTGCCAGGAAAGTTGGAAAAACGTGTTTAGTTGGAGGGCATGAAGAAATCTGCCTTTCTTCGGAGGAAGTTCTTGGGGAAAGGGGTGGGCTGGTTATGAGAATGAACCTTGGCCAAGATCCTTTTAAGTTCAGTGCAGAGATGTCTGCAGAAGAGGAAAGAGAAGATGGCCACCTGTGCAGATATGGGCATTGTGAAACTTCCAGAGGATGGGTGTAGGCAGACAGCCCATCGTGCCTCAAGCTTTAAATAAAGCACAGAAAGCTATTGCTAAGGGCTTGGAACCCTGTCTCACCCAACTTTCAAAGAATGGTAGCTTGGAAGAGGAAATCACTGTGTTAGTTCCCTTTATGTTTACACAAATTCTTATCCCAGTAAACTCAAACTGAAGAAGAGGAACTCACCAAAGGACAATAACACCAAGTTTGGCCATGGTGATATAGGAAGCCTTCAGATACGCTCTGAGTGGGTTTATGTTGTTTTTTTTTTTTTCACTTGACTCCTACATTTC